AGCAGGCGGCACTTGGAGAGCCTTCCCGACTTGAGTGCGTCTTTCTTGGAGTGGACACCTACAGGTGGCATATTGTATCTGCCCAAAGGAGATTGGCCTCCTGCGTTGGGCGTGGAGCACAACGGCAGGGCAGCACTCGTGCTCACGGACCTCGTGAATTGCGGAGGGCTGCCAGGGGCTGACGTAAGTTTTATCGTTGATCAAGAGAGCGAGTACGCCGCCGTGGACGGGTTTATCCTGGGTGAGTTGCAACGCGAAGGGTTCGTTTCCAGTGCTGCAGTTCACGTGGCCCCTGAGTTTGGCGGGAGTGTGCTCGGCTGGCAACTCACGGAATATGGTTTGGATAACGTGGCAGCGTTTGACGTGGTTCGCAAACCTCAGCCAGCCCTTCGCATTCGCGAAGGCTTGAAAAGCAAGGACCTTTCCACGTACGAGCTCGTGTTGAAAATGCGCCAAGAGGGATGGTCAGCCAAACCTTTACCTACTGATAAACATATGCTACCTAGACCATATGACCCCTTCAGTGCGGACGCAGAGAAAGTTTGGTATTTCTCTGGCGCTCGCAAGACCATTGCTTCGACGTGTCTCCAATCCTTGCTTGCAGGGGCCGCCACGGTGCACCACGCAGGGCCCCTACAACAGTACAGAGCCTTATGTGATGACGATGGGGTCACGCTCCAGATCACCGATGACATCGGGACGGTCGCCAGGAACTACGGTGACAGAAAAAAACGCGCGGACCACACGTGGCAGGGCACCTGTGGCACGCGTGCCGCGCGCAAGGGCGCGGGGGGGAGGGGGGGGGGGAAGTCAAACAGAACAAGCGGGGATGGGAAGGGGGATGTTGGAGAGGGAGGAAGATGAGGGCGGCGGCGGGAGAGGGCAGGGGGCGGAGGGCGACGGCGACGGCAAGTCTTTCAACTCATCCTCCTCATGGCCTCATCTTCCTCATATTCCTGATCATCGCATGCCTCGTCTCCACCCCCCCCTTCCTCCTCCCCCCCCCCCACTTCTCCAATATCCGCCCGCCCCCCGTCCAGCTCCACGGATCGACCCCCTTGTCGGGGCAGCGCGGCCTCCAGTTTGGGGTGGGGCGGGGTGGGTGGGCGCACGAGTGCCCAGTGGTGCATGTGATCGAGGACACTGCCCGCTGATGTGTTTCGTTTCTAAGGCAAGTGCGCCTTTCTTCCTCATCCTCCCTTCCTCCTCCGCTCGCCTCTCCGCGCGTGTCGGGCGTCGGGCTGCGGGGCGCAAGTGCCTTGCTGAATCGCGTGGCATCGTGCGTGTTTTTTTTGTTTTCGCAGGCAGCCGCCAGCCAAGCGCAGGCGCATAGGGAAGGCCAAGGCCATGCAAGACGCACTTCCAAGACTTGAAGACGATCTTCCAGGGGGCCCTTGGCGCGAGGAGGGCCATGGCCACGCCGACGATGGCCCCGACAGCGACGTGCCCGACCCCAGCGATGGCCCCGACGCCGACGCCGATCCCGACGCTGCCCACGCCGACGAGCTCGAAGGCATTCCTGACCATGGTGACAGTGAGAGCGTCGTTCAAGGGTGCCCCACGCCCGAGCTCAACGACGACGATGACCACGCCTACGAGCCCGCAGGCATTGCGGCACACGGTGACAGCGAGGGCGCCCTTCAGGGGCACCCCGCGCCCGAGTCCGAGGGCATCGGCGACCCGTCCGCCGAGGTGGACGGCGACCTGCAACCTGAGCCGCCACGCCTTCCGCCCGAGTCGCCGCCGCACCTTCGGCCAGAGGGTTGCGATGCGCCGCTCGGGCAGTCAGAGCCCCCGACAGGGCCGCAGGCTGACCCTCGGCCAGAGAGCGGCGATCCGCCGCCTAAGCCGCCAGAGCCACCGCCAGGGCAGCAGCCAGGCCCTCGGCCAGAGGGTGGCAATTCGCCGCCTGAACTGCCAGAGCCCCCACCAGAGACGCTGCCGCATCCGCGGCCCGAGCCGTTGCCGCCGTCGGCGCCCCCGAATGCACCTGGGCCGCAACCGCCAGAGCAGCCGCCGCCGCCACCGCCGCCGCCCCTGGGGGCACCTGGGCCTCACTCGCCAGAGCCACATCCACCGCTGCCACAGCCGCTCGCGCCGAGAGCACGCGCATTCAACCCTGCCAGCGGCGCGTGGGGGCCGTTCAGATTCACGGTGTGCGTCGAGAAGGATGGGTTTGTCAGGACGCAGGCAACCTGTAAGTTTCACAAAGATCCCGACGACGCCAAGACGACGCAGTGCACGAAGTCTCGGAGAATCAACCCTTCCAATGCTGATGAAGTGAAACGGCGTTTAAAAGCTTGGCTGTTGGCAGGTGAGGGCAAAAAAACACAGGGCCCGCAATGATGCGCCTGCCTGCAGTCACAAGCCAATCGAACCAGAGGGTCTACCTCTCCTCACGCACGCTGAGCTCGATGCAGCCTGCCCCGCAGCCGACATAGGCCCTGACGTGTGGATTGCGGGCCGCCCTGATTCAGCCGTTCGCGATCAGTTGCACGAGGCCGCGATGCATCTTTTCGAGGAGAAGGGGGATGACAGCGACGGCAGTGCCTCCAGCAGTGGCAGTGGGGATTCCAGCAGCTCGTCCTCGTCATCCGACTCGCCCGATTGACCTCGGAGGCGCGGCTGTCGAGTTCGGAATTGCCCCGCCACATCCCCATCCGAGGGTACGTCTGCCAGAGCCACCGCTGATTGTGGTGATCAGGCAAGAGGGCGACGGCGCTTCTTGCCAGCCACCCGCAGCGCAGAGAAACCACGGCCTTGGTTGAACAGCGGCGGCGACGGCGGCGCCGCCCTTGGGGTGCGTGCTCGGCGCGTGCCTCCACCCCTCCCCATCACCCTGGAGGTGCTGCTATTTCGACCCGCGCGCCCTGGAGGTGCTGCTACTGCGAGGCGCCGCCGCTGCGAGGCACGGCCACTGCGGTGGAGGGGGTGCGGGGGGGGAGGAGGGGTCAAGACTGAGAGCGGAGGAGGGGATGTATGATGTTGGAGAGGTTCGGCAGATGAGACGAGATGAGGATAGGGGGGGACGAGCATGTAGTGGCGTGAATGACGCAGGCGGTTATTCGTTCGATCAAGCAGACACTCGCAAGGCGCGATAATGACATGCGGCGGCCATGGGCCACTAACTCCACGCTCGAACACCATGGCGTGCGAAATCGAGAGGAGATGGGAACGTGCAGCAGCCCAGCATAAGATCTCCTGGGGGTGTGGGCCGTTTTGGGAGGTGGGAACTGGTGGGCGAGGGTCGATGATAGGCACCCCCATGATTGGGCCGAGGTTCGAGGGGTCGTGGGGTTCGAGATGGAGGGCCTCTTCGATTCCCTAACCCACTCGAGTGTCGATGACGCGCTGGTGGCGGCGACGGCGACGACCGATCCATGGGGTCGGGATGATCGAGAGCTCGACGATCGATGGTCCACGGTGTCTAGAGCTCCACGAGCGAGGGTCGAGAGCCAGATTGTAATTCCAAACGCCCGAGGCGGGGCGCATCCACCATGCGGACCGACACCGTAAACCGCAACTCCCTGCCCGCGCGGCCCCCCGTTCCCCGCTGCGGCCAGGCCCACGGCTTCGCCTTCCACCGCGAGGGCTTCTTCCGCCGCGAGGGCGCCTTCCACCGCGAGGGCCCCTTCCTCCGCGAGGGCTCCTTCCACCGCGAGGGCGCCTTCCTCCGCGAGGGCTCCTTCCACCGCGAGGGCGCCTTCCACCTTCTACAGCGAGGGCTCCTTCCACCGCGAGGGCCCCTTCCACCGCGAGGGCCCCTTCCACCGCGAGGGCGCCTTCCACCGCGAGGGCTCCATCCGCCGCGAGGGTGCCTTCCAGGATGCTTGCCAACGCCCCCCCCCCCCCGAGAGGAGGATTCGACATTAGGATGCTTAGGGCGAGGATGATTGTGATTAGGATGGTTAGATCGAGGATGATGGTTAGGACGAGGATGATTAGGAGTTGTAGGATGAGGGGTGTTAGGGTGGTGAGGGGGCGTCGGACGAGAGGCCTCATTGCTGCCCGTTGCCTCCCGCTGTGTTTCATCAGGAGGGCAGGGTGCAACTCGTCGCAGACCTCGGTTGCAGCGCCGTTAGCAGTTTCCGATCCAGAGGCAAGCCGCTGCTTGATTGCGCGTGGGAGCACACTCTGGGCCTTCGCTCAGTAGCCATTTTTGGCCCGCGCCGATGTCCAGTCACGAGCAGTGGCTCCTGGACTTGGCTAGCAAATACGATACTGATTGCATACTCGAACTGTGCCGTGACAAAGCCAAGCGGCTTGAGTCCAGTACTAATGCTGCAGTACTAATGCTGCAGGGGATGCTCCGACAGCACGAGGAGGTCGACGAGGACATCCGCCACCTCGAAAAGCGTCGCCGCCGCTGCCGCGACGCCGACAAGGAGCTCGACAGGAGGCTCGAGCGGATGCGCTACTACGTGCTCAACGCGGACGTGAACAAGGAACTGCGCAAGCAGCAGGGCCCCATCAGGGGGCGCAGTGGTGACATTCCGATAGCAGCGGCAACGTTGGCGTCGGTAGGACCCCATAGCCTTTTAGAGGACAGGCGTCATCGGCGCAATGGGGTCCTAGTCGGCGCTCGCGGTGCCTTGCCCATCGGCTTCTCACTCCTGCGCGCCTTCAGAGCATCGCAGTCGACGAGGTGGCTCCCAGGATGACTTTTCAAGAGGAACGTTTGCTCGTGGGGCGTGTTGCCGCGAAGTTGCCACGGGAACTCCGTCCCCGCATAGTGCGGCGCCTTGTCGCCGAGGCGAAGGGTTCTGGCACAGCCGCGCCAGTTGTACTTTCTATCGATGATGCTGGCGACCCTGGCGCTGCTGCTGCAACTTTGGACTCGGTGAGCCTCTTGGAGGCGGCCACCCGCGAGGCTCCCTAGATGCGGCGACGGGCGTCGCGGCTTGAAGAACACCGACGGTGTTCTTGGAATGCGTTGAGCTTCCTTGAAGGCGACTCGGCGCATCACGCTGCCATGCCGCGCCGCGCGCCACCGCATCCAGGCAGCCCCGCCCGCCTGGCAGCTCGGAGAGCGGTGGGTGGCAGACCTGCCTAAGCTGCGCTGTCGAGCGATTGGCACCGCCGTGGAGAACGGAATCGCGCAGCTTCGCATCGTGAAGGACGAGCGGCCCAAGGACGCAATGATCCCCAGGGGGGACATGATCAAGCTACCGAACGAGATGTCCAATGTCACGCCTGGCAAGATGGCGGAGCTCTGGCTCGAGATCGTCACCATCTGCGACCCGTACGATCAGATGTACTGGCAAGCTCGCTTAGCGCCCGAGCCAGAGCCAGCTGCAATGTAAATAGCATGGCGTGTGCGAAGCTAACGCCTAGAACAGTTCAGATAACCCTTGGTAGATGTTAAAAGTATCCTACCACCGCAAGGCAGGTGGGGCGAAGCAAACATAACCCCCTATGTGCCACGAACCGTGTGAGGGGTGCGCTCAAATGGGGCGGGGCCACCATGCGAACCCTGCCGCTCGACTCAAGTGGAACCCCACATGATGCGACGAACCGTGTGAGGGGTGCGCCCAGATGCGGGGCAACCATGCGAACCCTGCCACTGGGGCATTCGGTGGAGCTCTCCATGGGGCCGCGAACCGTGTGAGGGGTGCGCCCAGATGCGGGGTAACCATGCGAACCCTGCCACTGTGGCATCCGGTGGAGCTCTCCATGGGGCCGCGAACCGTGTGAGGGGCGCGCCCAAATGCGAGGCCGCCATACGGGCCTTGCCACTGGTGCCTTCTGTGGAGCTCCCCGCGGTGCGACGAGCCGCGTGAGAGGTGCGATCAAGGGCAGCGGCGCGGGGCAGGCGGAGGAGGAGGGGGGGGAGGAGCAAGAAGAGGAGGCGGAGGGGGTGAGGAGGAGCAGGAGCAGGAGCAGGGGCAGGAGCATGGGCAGGAGCAGGAGGAGTCGGGGGAGAAGGAGGGAGAGGGGGATGAGGAGGAGGAGGGGGAACAGGAAAACGAGGAGGAGGAGAAGGAGAAGGAAGAGGAGGAGGGGGAGGACGAGGGTGAGGATGAGGATGAAGAGGATGAGGGGGAGAAGGAGGAGGAGGAGGAGGAGGAGGAGGAGGAGGAGGAGAACGAGGAGGAGGAGTTGCACCCTGCCTCCCAGGGGGCACTCCTTCTCGGTGCTCCAGTAGTAGTAGTAGTAGTAGTAGTAGTAGTAGTAGTACTAGCAGTAGTAGTAGTAGTAGTAGTAGTAGTAGTAGTAGTAGTAGTCGTAGTAGTAGAGTCGTGTAGTAGTAGTAGTAGTAGTAGTAGTAGTAGTAGTAGTAGTCGTAGTAGTAGTAGTAGTAGTAGTAGTAGTAGTAGTAGTAGTAGTAGTAGCTACTAGTAGTAGTAGTAGTAGTAGTAGTAGTAGCAGCAGTAGTAGCAGTAGTGTAGGCAGTAGTAGTAGTGGGGCCACCATGTGTACATGTGCATCGCAAACTGGGGTCGTATACGTACGCATCAGGTTCATAGGCGCACGCGCGCACATGCATTCGCATACGCGTTCTTGGACGCGCGTTCTACGTGAAGCCCCGCGCTCTGACGCCCTGTCCCAGCGCAGTGCAGCGTCGCACACCAGACATCGCCCAATAGCAATATAATGTATAAGCGCATCACTATGTTTATACGCGTCACATGTAACATCATGTAACAGTGTCAAGTCGGTTCACGCGCGTAGTGTTCGGAGTTGGGCGCGCGCGAGATGGCCCCAAGGCCCCAAGGGGCCCTGAAGCGAAGGCGGGGCATTCCAAGGCGGCTTCAGATGGCCTCGCGTCGGCCCGCTCGCCCCCCGCATGGGGCCATCGGTGACATATGCCTCATATGTATATATATATAACACATATATATATGTATATATATATATATATATTCGCATGTGTCTATAAGTTACATGTCTGTCTGTCTGCCTGGGCGCCGCTTTGCGCGCCAGGCACGCCCATCCACCGACCCCGCAACCAGAACACATGCGCATTCCACGGCAACCCTGCACCCCCAGTGCATTCCCATTGCCCCATCTAGAAACTGCGCCCAGGCGAATTGTCTGGAGTGTTCCTAGGCATGTTTTGCGCCGCGAAGGTGCTGGAGGTGGGGCGGACCACCTCCCGCCCGCCCGCGCCCTCCGCCCGCCTGCTCCACTCCCCGCCTCCCCCGAAAATTGTTGCAGCGTTGTTTTGTTCGCTTTGCGTCCGCGCCCTGATGCGTTTCTCGCATATCTCGCAAACTGTTCCCCTGTGCCACCACCCTCCATTAGTGGCGCACAACGCAGTGCGCCAGCCGATCTTTAGGAAGACAACGTCGCCCCACACCCCGCCCCTTGACTAGACAAGCCCCTTTGAATTATGACCGAGCCCCACTCCCTCCCCCCGATCAGCCCCGATCGGGAAAAAGGCCCCCAACGCCCTCCCGTCATGTCAACGCACCATGTTCTTGACAAGGCATGGTCATGTCAGCTCTCTGGTCAAGTGAACTCAACCGATCGGCCTAATTCGTATCGCGCGGGTTCCTGCCGCGCCCTGGCCAGCAACAACAAAACCCACCGTCGCCCGCGTTTCAACCAAGCCCGTTTTGCAGTGTTCTAGCAATATTTCGTATTGCCATGTCATAGGTAATCTTTGCTACATACCTACCTACCCATTGATTCTTTCAGGTATCTTAATTATGCGCGCGCCCCGCCCGTGGGGGCGTTGGAGGGTTGGGCAAGGCGTATGCGCGCCCGCCTGCGGGCCGTGCCCCGTGGCTTCTCACCCAGGCGGCAGGCGCAGGCCCCGCGAGGTGCGGGGCGCTTGCGCGCAGGCGCGGCCAACTGGCAAGTTGGCACTGCGGGCGCTGTTGGTTCCCTTCGCACACCCTGCTTGGCTTTCGTTACGACGCAGCGGGTGCGCATTTCCTTCGCGGCAAAGCAGAGGCGACGCGTGGAGCTGATGAGTCGCGTGGGCAAGCTTTGTTGTTGTATTTTTGTGGAAAAGAGAAGCGGTTTCAAACGTGGTTTTGTTGTTTCGATTGTTTTGTTTTATGGTTCATATGGCATGGCGTGCGTTTCGGTGTGCGTGTGTTGTTTTTTGTGTGCCGTTTTTTTTGTCGTCGCGCGTTCGCGCGCTTTCTTTTTCTCTGGCTTTTTATAGTTTTGCAAGTCGTGTGTGTTTTTTTGTTTTCAGCTTTTTGTTTTTTTGGTTGTTTTTTGGCTCGCGCGTGCTGGGTGCGTTATGGTTTTTGTGATTTTCCAGCGTGTTTTCTGTTGATCCCATCGTTTTGTTTTTGATGGAAAATATTATTTTCGAAGGTGGTTTACCTTTTTTTATATATTTTTTTATAAATATATATAAAAAAAACATTATGTTTAATGTATTTTCATTTTTTTTGTTTTTTTCTATATTTTTCTATTTTTTTGTATATTGTTATGTTTTGTTCCCCTAAATTTTTCATTCATTTTCATGAATTTTCAGTTTTTTTTTTTTTATTATTATTATTTGTTGTTTTTTATATATTTTTTTGTTATTTTTTATAGTTTTTCTTATTTTTCGAGTGAATTCTATTTTTTTTTGTTTTTTTCCATTGATTTTCGTTTTTTTTTCATTTTTTCCATGCGTTTTGCATTTTTTTCCAATTTTCCTGCACGGAGGCGGTCGCGGCGGCGCCGGACGCCCCCCCGACCCCGAAAATCGCACGCAGCAGTACCGCAGCAGTACCGCAGCAGTACCGCAGCAGTACCGCAGCAGTACCGCAGCAGTACCGCAGCAGTACCGCAGCAGTACCGCAGCAGTACCGCAGCAGTACCCCAGCAGTACCCAAGCGGGGTGTCAGCTGCCTCCCCGCGGAATTTGGTTTTTTTCGC